CACAGACTTTCATCATTAAAACTACCGAGAACAGTTTTTGGACACTCGATATCATTTGACAGAAATATTATATGTCAAGTGACTAGAAAATTCAAATAGGGAAAAATGGCACAACTGTTGTAAAATCATATTACAGAATTAAAACAACTTAGTAGACAAAAACAAGAAAAAGCTTTAAACAAACATATATCAAACTAATAGGCCGAACCTACAATAGTATTACAAGTAGGGAATTATTACTTACAAATAGCGCAAATTGAATTGTTTCATTAACATACTTATTGAATATTTTCACTGCTTACTTAAATTGACAAACAATTTGTACATTTTCAATGCACATCAGTATGTTCCAATTCTCGTGATTAAGGTAGTCTTAAAATTCATATTTTTTACTTTCATTTATATGTGTACATGTATTACATAATTCAATTTTCTTGATTTAGTTACTATTTAAATTCAACTCCATTGTCTTTCAAAATTTACATGCACATTTGATATTTCAATTCTCTTGATTTAGCTACTCTTGAAATTCAACCCCCCTGTCTTTTATGATCATTGATATGCAAAATAAATATTTTAATTCTCTTGATTACGCTACTCTTAAAATTGAACTTCTTGACATTTAACTGAAATGGGCATTTAATATGTCATTTCGTTTGGTTTAGTCACTCTTGATATATAACTACTTGACTTTAATTGATATGCACATTTTATACATCATTTCTCTCGGTTTAGTCTTTCTCGAAATTCAACTACTTGACTTTCATTGATACAAGTATGCACCTTAAAAAATTTCAATTCTTTCGGCTTTTCGACTGAAGACTTTGAATTTATCACAATGGCATGATATTGACTTTTTACATGATCTACCTACTCTCGAATTAATATGATTTTTTTATCTCTTCACATTTATAAATATGCATTTCAAATTTATTTTATCAATAACATCCCACTTATTTTTTTTGTTTTTATTTATTGCCTTCAGTACTATTAATTTATAACATGGCCAGCATCTGATAGCAAAACACAGCTGGACATATTAAAGGAAACCACTTTCCAGTGTAGTGCCGACAATTAATGAGATAAGAATCACAGGCGTGTTAAGTAACCATTGTTGTATTTAAAGCTTGCTGTGAAACAGATCCAGATTGTGAAAGACAGTATTTTTAACAGGGAAAAAGAAATTGGAGCACAAAGTTGTCCGCTGCTGAAAAAATCTAACCCTTGAAGCAATCGAAATCTTTTATTGCTTGCACAAGAAATAAGAACTTTAATTTCAAAATTGTTTTTACTGGCACAGCTCATTTCTTCCGTTTGGGATTAGTAGTTGATTTACTTCCATCTTCTTTACTGCAAAATTCTGGCTTTGTTTACAAACATAGGCAGAGTTCTCTGTGTTGAACGATTTTATCACTAACGAGGGAAAACTGCTCTGTTCATTAGCATATCAGCGCAAGAATTTAGTTTATTTATATACCACCAGCACGTCAATCTTTTAAAAATAACCTGGTTTGTACAATGTTCAATTTTGTGAATTTTCTTTAAAAACCTGTTTTCAAAATACTTCTTATTATATAAAATATTTATTGATTTATAAATCAAAATTTTGTTTGCACGACATGTCACTTTTTTTGACCGCATGTCCCTAACACTTCTTTTGCGAATGGACACAAATTCCAATAAAACTAATAATAAATATTTATGCTTATAAACACTTCAAAGCATATCAGGAAACATATTCTTGTTCTGTAGATTTTTGAAAACTGTAAATAAACCAATATTATACAAGAACCTGTACACAAATTACTCAAACGAAAATGTGATTAGTTTCGATACATTGGGGAATCCCTTACAAGTCACATAACATGAGTTGATACCATCAACTCGTAAAAATACTTCAGCTCAGCATTGAGCATATCGTCTTTCTTGGGAATAGAAACAACGACCGCCCTCTGGTGGCCTGTAATATTCATTATCGGCCGTAGCAGCGGCCGATCTATTTATCCCCCCCCCCTTAATCGAAGATTCGGGGGCATATAGTTTTTGCCCGTCCATCCGTCTTTTTCCTCTGTACGTCCGCAAAAACTTTAATATTGCTCATAACTTTTGATTGGTTGGAGCTATGGCTTTCATATTTCACATGTGTATCCCTTTTGACAAGACCTTTCTTTGGGTTCCATAATATTTGACCTTTTGACCCAGTTTTGCAAAATTTTACCCAGCCTTGGCCATTACTTTAGAATAGTTGGTACTAGGGCTTTCATTCTTCACGTATGTAATCCTTGTGACAAGACATTAGTTTGGATTCCAACAACTTTGACCCTTTGACCTTAACCTTGCAGTTTGACCTACTTTTGAAAAACTTTAACCTTGGCCATAACTTTTGAACGGTTGGTGCTAGGGCTTTCATATTTCACAAGTGTATTTCTTGTGAGAGGGCATTTCCTTGTGCACAATTGATTTTGACCATTTGATCTTTACCTTGATGTTTGACTTACTTTTGAAAAACTTTAACCTTTTCCATATCTATTCAATGATTGTTGCTAGGGCTTTCATATTTCACAGGTATATTACTCGAGACACGACTTTACTTTGGGTACCAACATATTTGATTTGCATTTGAGAAAATTAAAAGTTCGCTAAAAGTTGCCATACGGGTGCATCAGTGTTTCACAAACACATCTATTTGTGGTTGTGTTAGAGTGTGCACATGGGGAAATGAGACGTTATCATGCCCCCGTAATCGAAGATTCGGGGGCATTTAGTTTTTGCTCTGTTTGTCTGTCTGTTTGTTTGTTCACAAAAACTTTAACCTTGCCCATAATTTTTGATTGTGTATTCCTTGTAACAAAACCTTTCTTTGAGTACCAACATTTTGACACCTTGCCTTTGAGGTAGATCCACTTTCGTTAAATTTTACCAAACTTGGCCATAACTCTTGAATGGTCGGTGCTAGGGCTTTCATACTTCACTTGTGTATACCTTGTGACAGGACCTTCCTTTGGGTAGAAATATTTTTGACCTTTGAGTTTGACCTACTTTAAAAAAATTAACCTTGAACATAACATTTGAATGGTTAGAGCTAGGGCTCTCATATTACACAGGTGTACATGTATTTCTTTTGACAAGACTTTCCCTTGGGTACCAACAATTTTTACCCTTTGATCTTGACCTAGTATATGTCCTACTTTTGAAAAACTTTAACATTGGCCATAACTTTTGAATGGTTTGTGCTAGGGTAATACTAAGTCTAAATGATGTTATTACGTTTCAATTTGTTTTCATTTCTCACCAGATATTTATTAATTTAAGATTTTATAACTCATTGAAAAGTTGTAACATGAAGTGCTCCCCAACATGGGAGTGTACAAGATACATGCATAAAACCAAACGTATTAAGTTTCCGATATGAAATACTACGCAACTGAGCGTATTAGTGCCACGTTTACATTTTTTATTTTTAACACTTTAAACTGTAAATTAATTTTACACATTTATTTGAAAAAAAATATTTTACTGTAAATCTGTAATAATCGAACGGTCATTTCATGGTGGTATACCTATGATATGTGGAAAATAGTATAAGGGGTATATGATCATGATGTAAAATATGTCAGTTAAAATTGCAGTCGTTTTAGAACGTTACGTTAAAGAAACATGATTGAATCAAAGGAAATTAATTTCTATATTGTTCCAAAATTAATATAAATTCATATACTTTAATATGAATTATTAATTGGTTATTTAAAAATACCATTGATTCAATTGTAGCCCGTAATACATGTAGAATGTAATTGAATTAATGCTATCAATAATTGAACTGTTACTTGCGTCAAATTACTTTGGTATTAATGATATCAATATCGTATTCTTTAAGAAGATATTTGTGATTGATTTGCTTTTCACATCAATTGAATTCATAATACTTTCAAATATTCTTCGATAGTCTCACTTATATCACTCTTCTAGATTGGTTATTATTTGTGTTATATCCATACATGTACATCTAATATGTAATAAGTTATTATTTTCCAGCTCAATTGTTGAATTCGAATTTAAAATTAAATCTTATCAAGCAGGATTCATAATCTATTGGTTTTAATTAAAAGCGTGTTACTTAAGACGTATGAGGTTGCCGAATTGTTCGTGTCAATTATACAGATAAAAGTGTAAAATTATACATATTAAAATGTAAATTTTACAGATTAAAGTGTACATGTAATTTTTTACAGGTAAAATTGTCAGTTTTACAGATTAAAGTGTCAATTTTACAGATTAATGTGAAAAATTTGCCGATTAATATGCAAATTTTACAGATTAAAGTGTAAAATTTACAGATTAGAGTGGAAAATGAAAAATAGAAAAGTGTCCAAATGGCACTAATACGCTTCCATGAAATACAGTGCCCAAAATATAATTGTAGAATTTTAAGAAGTAAATATTTTTTTAATACATTACAGTTGCAAATGTCACATTTTTTTTTCTGCACTTCACATTTATTGTGATACATATCATCGGCATTACCACGTGACAAAGATCCAGGTATCAGCACGTGAAGTCTGTACGTCTTCTTTTGTCGGCATTTAGACATTCATAATTAATAATATTTTAGAATTTGTTGCATTTCTTTGAATTAAATAGTTTGATGATAATACATTTCTATCCTTTATCGTGCTTTTTCCGAATCTCATTTCCATGAATTTATTTATTTTGATTAATATCGAGCAATTGATCACTGAAAATTAAAGTATAAAAAAAGCAGGGAAAAGGAAAGCAAGTGCACAGTTTGCAATAAAAATATATCTTGTACTATTTCTACTTTGAATTTTTTTTCTTTGGACTCTTTCTTGTAGAAATACTTTAAAATGCTAAATATATTTTTGCAGACGATTTAATGATTTGCATCAATTTAACTTTTTTTTTTTTTTTTTTTTTTTTTTTTTTTTTTTTTTAAAGAGAGCTTTTCCCGTACATACTTCTTTTAACTGTGAAAATCGGTATAAAGAGAGTTTGATGTGATATAATTACGTTACATAAAAATTCAGTATGAACAAAGGTGATATTGAGTCTTAGTTCTTGTCATTACTTGTCCAGATTTTGCTTGAAATCGTAGTATGTTTCATTCTTCATTAAAAAACACATCATTGTCAAAGCCAGCACAAGCATTATTAGCTGAAAAATAAAAGAAAAGATGTTAAGAAAATTGTATAAATATTTTCGTTCAATGCTATTAAACTATAAATTCTTATTAACTATAAGTGCAAGGGTATAATTATAATTCGTGGTTGTCACAATCACTTTGTTTACGCCATATTCTACAAATGCGTGAATCGCAAATCTTCAGGAATGAGTAAAATTAATTCCACAGAATTTATGTTTATTGCCTGCAAAATCTGTGACAACGCACTTTGAAAAAATTATGCATTTTGAAAAAAAAAAAAAATTTCAAAGTGCGTTAAATTTGGGACAAAATCACGCACTTTGAAATTTTTTTCAAAGTGCGTTAAGAGTGTAAATCAACATTTTTTTCTATGGAGACACTTAACGCACTTTTTTTAAAAAAAAAATATGTGTAAAACAAACATTCTGGACTTAGATTTTAATAAAAGACAGCATTATTTTGATATATTTGGCCAAGGTAGCTTTACAAAATCAAATACAAATCAAAAAAAAAAAAAAAAAAGAAAAGAAAAAAGAAAGAAACAAAAGAAACAAAATAAAAACTTGCAAAAAATGCATATTTTTTTTTTTCATTCCTCTTTATACTAATCATATAAATGTAAAAAAGGCCATGATATTGTGCAGGAATAAAACAATTTTTTCATACTTCTAAACACTTATCAAATACCTATAAGAAGACCATCATATTGTGCGGGAAAATTATTTTCAATGGAAAAATCTTAATTACTCCCTTTTCCCTAAGAAAAATGCGATGCTTTAAGTCGTTTATCGATACCTACATCTAAAGAACTTATTACAGACTGGATGAAATTGAAAAAAAAAAAAAAAAAAAAAAAAAGAAAGAAACTAAATTGTGCTTTAAAATAATCATTCCTCCATTATTATTTTTTTTTAAAAAACCATTTCCCTTTCATAACATTTACGAGAACTTTTGGTAACATTTAACCAGCCCCTTAAACTCTTTTAAAAGTCAATACATGTATATATCTTAGATCCTGAAGTGACGTCATTACCGAAAAGTTATCCAACCAGTTTCAAACAAGCATTCTGAGAGTACTGCATTAGCAATACTAGTCCCCTACCGGCAAGTGTAATCTGGTTCCCGTTAAAAATGAAAATGCCATAATTCCGTCAAAAATCAATGAAGCGGAACGAAATGCAAACTTTATCTATAACTCATCAAGATACACACACATACCAAAAATCAGCTCAATATCTGCAAGCGTTTAGAAGAAAAGTGTGGAAAACCAGGTGGGACAGACTGACAGACAGACAGAGGGACAGAGAGACAGACGGACGGACAGACTCAGAGGAAACCTATAGTCTCCTCCGGTTTCACCGGTAGGGGACTAATACATGTAATTATTTATCATGTTTACCAAACCGTGCACTTTTTTTCCAAAGTGCGTTAATATGGTCGATATTAACGCACTTTGAAAGGAAATAATTTTTTTTTCAAAATGCATTAACTTGGTCCCAAATTTAACGCACTTTGAAAAAAAAATTCAAAGTGCGTTGTAACAGAGGTCATACTAGTAATTACCTGACACAGTCCTAAGGTAGCAGTACATGCAATGATTATTATTTCAAATCTCAGATAAAGTTCCTTTAGTTGGGGCTCGCAAGGCTGAAAATACAAGTACATTTACATATATTATATATTTACATTAATCATAAATTTTCAGGTACTTTTACTTATATTATCGATGTTTATTGCAAATTTTTGTTATCCTTTCCTCCTTTCCCACTCTACTTAAAAAGGGTTTTCAGTACTTGGTTAACAAATCGTCATTTCTTCCATTTTGAAACGATCAAAGAAAAAGAACTGAAATTATACCATTAAATTATCTTTGGTTTTTATCGTCGACTATTTCAATTACAAAGATAGATTTAGATTTAATATTAGATTAATGAATTCCACGTATAGTTATTGCATCCATACCATGCATATTGGTTACCCAAAAGCCCAACGCATGGTTCTCAATAGCTACAAATCGCAGCAAGAACAATACTTAATTAAAATCAATCAACTTTTGCATTAATAAAAATTATGTATAATAATATTACGTTTGTATAAGACTTTGTTGCACCTGGGTTCTTTCTGCAGTCGATTTTGCCTTTAATTGACGGAAGTGAGGAATTGCTTTGCGGTAGACAGCACGAAATAGGAACTTCCGCTAGAGACCCGTCATCTAACGTGCGGTTCCAAGATGTTGACTGCAGAAAATCAGAAATGTTCCCATACCCACAACAAGTTAGCTAAAAAGAAAATCATGAGATCCAATGCTTGATTGAGATTTCTTGCAGTCACATGAAAATTATTCATCAGACTTCACAAAAATATCAAGTCCCAATTCTTGCATTTAAGACATATACATGTATTAGTTAATTAACTTAATACTAGTACATAATTGTACAAGTTGTTTTCATGTTTCAACAATGCAGTTCTTGATAAAACTTCAACAGCGTAAAAGAAGACAGCTTAGTTATTTCTTTTTTTTGCGATATAAAGCATATTTTTATTTTGAAATTGATAATTGAAATAGGACCAAATTTGCGCTAGAAGTAGACTTTGGAAAGATTCTGTTTAGTAATAATTATCCATGACAACGTAGTTCAAAAATAAATAAAAAATGATTAAAAGAAATATGAACTTTGGCTATTCTACCTGTGTATCAAGATTTATATAAACAGGGGGAATAGCGTTTCAGAGAATTCCCTCATTCAAATTGAACAAATTACAACAAACTTAAAGTAAAGAGAAGAGTTTTACTGAAGTATGTATTGTATTCATGTGTCTGCTAAAATAATTCTGAGTATCTGCAGCTCCATCGTATTCAGTTTTAATGTTTCTGTATATGGCGGCGTCTAAGTGAGTATTCCACTGTGAAGAAAAAAGGTTATAGCATTTTAAATTAAAAATAAGGGGTCGATTAATTTGTGCATTTTGTTGATACATACTGGAAAAATAAGAATGCACTTGGACAGCGCAAACGTCGGCCCAACCGACAATGTTTCTGTAAATGGGCATAAAATTAAAATTAATGCATATTCAAAAAAATCAGAACTGATTTATAGCAAGAAAAAATTGTTATAGTAAAAACACAGTCCCGGATTATATTAGGATTCACGCAGCATGAAACTTTTCTTGGATCCTCCTAAGAACTTGAAACATTCTTTTACAAGTTTCAGTTTTTGAGATTTCCTAGATTGTCGACAGACAAACACGATCAATAAAGATAAAATTAAAACAAAATATCAAAGAGCTTAGCCTGGATATTATATAAAGGGGTTGATAAAGGCTATGACAAGTATCTTACTTTCAAATCGATGCACAGAAGTCTAAAATATCTTTACCGAATCTTTGAATACTACTCCCAAAGTGCAGCCTGCAACCTCAACACATAAGATTAATGACAACACACCGGCATACTGAAAAGAGGTAGAAAAAAATTCAACTGAAGCAGCCAGTCTAGAAAACTAAAACAGAAGATATGAAGCATTTCTGAGATTTATAATTTTTTAAACACTTATTATATTTAAAAATTCAAGTATACTAGTACTATTAAAGGAGATGGGTGAACAAGGCGTGTAGAATGCTATAGCTTCAGATATGTAAAAATTATATTTCAATTTGTGAATTTAGGGTAAAGTTATCTTTATTGAATTTATGAAATTATGATAAACAAAACTTTTTTGAGGAAAATTTTCTAGGCAAAAATTATCCTGTTGTTATAAAAATAATGTGGTATTCGTGGGGTTCGAACCCCCTAGCAATAAAAATTCTGAATATCATTTTCTTTTGAGACCAACACGTTAACCACAACGCTACTCGTCTCCTGATGAATAGTGGTATTTAAATCATGTTTGTGGTATGACTCTTGACTATATGGACAAGTATTTCTCGGAAGATGCGAATGTTGTGTCATAAAAGTTTATTTTCAAAGTATAGCATGTCTTTGCTTCATGTTTTTGTTAACCAGAAAATGTATATTTTTACGCAAACTTTGAGGATAAACTTTAAAAAAAAAAAAATGGAGTGAAGACACACTCATATGGAAAAATTGTGTTAATGTATGAGAAAATGATCCTTCTTACCCTTTTTAATGTTTTTATGCCATTTCATAGGCAAATAATTTCAATCTTTGTGAGATTTTTACAAATTTTGAAGATTAAAATAAAGTATATTTTAATGTTAGATGAAATATCAAAGAAAATTTTTGTTATAACTGAGATTTCATTTTTCACCTTCATGTTTATCGCACTATAGGCACTTCGCTCGCCTTGTTCGCCCATTTTCTTTCTTTACAGAGCTATATGTCTTGCAAATAAAAAAAAAAACTGACAATATGCTTTGACCTTAAATCAATATAACCTTGTCCTATGATTTATAAATGTTCAAACAAAACGTTTAGACCCTTGCAAAATGATTTCAAGAAGTGATCAATCGCATTTACTTCCAGCCAATTATCATTTTCTTTCTCAGAGGCTTAAACACTGGGAGAAATTTCTCAGATTTTATTGATTTGACTGAAAAGGTGGTTTTGTGGTCGAGTGAATGACTTTTGATTGAAATCAATATATCTCAATCTGGAATAAAACGTATGACAGCTTGTAACAAAAAAACCGTGTCAGCTGTGCTTTTTAGCTGTTTACTTATTTCCTTTTTATTCTCTGTATAGCCTTATGCAGTTTTCTGTAATGATTGTACGTACTATTGGAAGATGTATGAACATATTCACACTACACTTTTTTGGTTCATGAATGTTGTCAAAAGTCTTTCAAACTACGACTTTGTTGCAAACTGAATGAGACTCACTGTATGAATGTTTTATTTAAAGATCAAGTGTACTGATGAAAATGACACCCTGGTTTGTACTTACCAAGCCTATACAACATGCACTCTGTGAATGTGTCGCAATAATACCAACAATCCCAAATACGAGTATGGCTGCACCCGCTGTAATGACTAGATATATACTCGTTAATAAATAAGACTGGTCCATTATTGAGAGTTCCCGAACACTTGACAGTTCTAGAACACTGGGATTCTCTAGAAGTACCCATACTCCAAGTCCCATGGCAACCGTTCCTATGGCCTGAAAATGAACAAGAATTCGAATAATTTTACGAAAAAAAAAACAAAGCGATGTCCCAAATATTGTTAAAAGTAAAAAGATGACAAAAGTATAACAGGTTTAATAAAAAATCCTCCAAAGGATTCAAACAACTGAAAATAGAACACTACTACAGTTAAAACAAAACGGTTGGAGCTTATAAATTTAACACACCTCTACCCCCGACCCCCACCCCCCTCCAGCCTCCAAACAAAATAAAAATGTGGATATATTGTTTATGTAGTACTTACTATGTCGGCTATATTGTCTCTGTAGTGTATATCTTAGTACTTACTATGATGGGTATGTTATCTATGTAGTGTATATCTTAGTACTTACTATGATGGTATGTTGTCTATCTAGTGTATATCTTATGGTATGTTGTCTATCTAGTGTATATCTTAGTACTTACTATGATGGGTATGTTATCTATGTAGTGTATATCTTAGTACTTACTATGATGGTATGTTGTCTATCTAGTGTATATCTTATGGTATGTTTTCTATCTAGTGTATATCTTAGTACTGACTATGATGGGTATGTTATCTATGTAGTGTATATCTTAGTACTGACTATGATGGTATGTTGTCTCTGTAGTGTATTTCTTAGTTCTTACTATGATGGTATGTTGTCTCTGTAGTGTATATCTTAGTCCTTACTATGATGGTATGTTGTCTATCTAGTGTATATCTTAGTACTTACTATGATGGGTATGTTATCTATGTAGTGTATATCTTAGTACTGACTATGATGGGTATGTTATCTATGTAGTGTATATCTTAGTACTGACTATGATGGTATGTTGTCTCTGTAGTGTATATCTTAGTCCTTACTATGATGGTGTGTTGTCTATCTAGTGTATATCTTAGTACTGACTATGATGGGTATGTTATCTATGTAGTGTATATCTTAGTCCTTACTATGATGGTATGTTGTCTCTGTAGTGTATATCTTAGTCCTTACTATGATGGTGTGTTGTCTATCTAGTGTATATCTTAGTACTGACTATGATGGGTATGTTATCTATGTAGTGTATATCTTGGTACTTACTATGATGGGTATGTTATCTATGCTTAGTACATGTACTTACTATGATGTTATGTTGTCTATGTAGAGTATATCTTAGTACTTACTATGATGGGTATGTTGCATATAATGATCAGACATTTAAGACAGGAGATATAATCGGCAGTCATGGTTGAGAATATGATAATCCAATCTGAAAAAGAACTAACAATCGTACTCAAGAGAAAGTAACCATATATATAACTACATGTATATTCATTAATTATTTCTAGAAAATAAAGTTGCTTAATTTTTACAAAATACATGATTTAAAATTGATGCATATCGCTCGTACTAAAACAAATCTTAAACTTTTGCGATAATTTTCTTTTAAACTAGCAAATTATTGAAATTCAACAGATCTACCTTCAGTGCTTTCTTGTATGCCCACACGAAGAAAAAAATCAATCCTGTTTTAGAATTTACAAGATTTTAAAAGTTTTAAGACATTGAATCATCTTGTCTTGCTCCTATCCTTTTTTAACTGCCGGACAACGAGAGGCAGTCCGCGCAGTCTCAAACGGCCACTTGTCGACAACAATGGAATGGGGCGTAAGAAAAACTTGAGAAAGCAATGATTAACGGATGCATCATCGTGAAAATGGGTGCATCATCCTGCATGCAAATAAAATACTTTTGTCTTTTATTTATTTGTGCAAACCATGTTATTATTTCCTACTTAGCAATTTATTTCAACAACATTAAAAGATTTCCTTTTTTTTCCTAGACATTTATTTATTTAGAGATTATATCATCGTTCCGGTTTTTAGACTGAAAAAAAATTGTTATATATAGCCTAACACTAACTTGATAATTATTGGACTGTAATATATTGTCTGTGTATTTTCTTTCATACAAACAAAAAAGTGTAGTGAGCTAGTCATATTGATCTTCATGTCAGGCGTTGTAATCAATGTACATATATACATGTACTTTTTCATTTTTTCATTATTCAATGATACTATTTTCTATACCAATGACCTACTTTACAGATATTTATTGGAAATATGAATCCTGGTAAGAAAAATATTACGGTCTTAGAGAGATGAAATTTCCCATCGATTTTACAAATCTGTGTATAGTGTTGTCTATAATTACAAAGTGGAAAAAAACCACGGCATAAAGAAACTGCAAGAAGAAAGTAAATTTTAATATTCCAAAGACAATAAAAATGTTTATATTTCGATCGGTAATATGAATGAATAGGAAGGTGCACGGCGTATGGTAGCCGTGCAACACCCCCCCCCCCATCCCCCGCGTAAAAATTACTCATCTCTTCTGCCGAAAATTGTAATAACCTTATAATGCAGAGTAATCCCCCGTCCCTCAAACAAAAAATATGATTTTGTCTTACATGGTACCTATTAATAGACAATGGATATATATCCTGTAATAATCAGCTTGTACACGTACACCACAAACCTGGGATGCTGCATATTTAAGAAATCGATTGCTTTACATTTTCTTTAACCATTATTCACTACATTATCAAATTCTCGATAAGCAGTTGGTGAGCTAAAGACCTAGCCCACTGTTTAAATCATTCTAACAATAATTGTAAATTGAGTATGACTGAGCAGTCGTTTGGAATTTCATCACTTTGTCACACCTTCCGTAACACTATCCAGCATCACAGAATACTCGTATGCCTCGTCTATAAATGTTTTCAGTGGTTGAGACTCCGCCTACAACTATTCATGAGGGAAATATTCCCTCTTTTCCTTTCTTGCAGGGAAAAGTCCAATTTTGGAAAGAAAGGAGCCCTCGGATAAAAGGGTGATAAAAGCGATTTCAGGGAAAAGGAGATTTCATCATTTTTGTTATACATGAAAAACTGTGGTGGTATAAAAAGAATTATAATGGCCACACCGTGGACTGTAGCTTACTCCTGGCTTGGGAATTTTCGCACAGCGTGCATCGATCGCAGAATTTTCATATTTTCGACTTCTTTTCCAAAACAACTGTGTGGACAGTGGTTAGACTTACTCACAGGCCTTTACATCGCTTTAATTCGACTGACGAAACTGAAGGTGTAAAAAAACATTTATTTTTTATTATGCCCCCAGTTTTGTCGGTCGGATTAAAGCGATCTAAAGACCTATGTTGAGTAAGTCATGGTAAACATGTGTGACTAACATGGAGAATTCATTTTGCTCTTTTTGCACGTAGTGATGCCATTTTAACAAATCACATGAAACATGGCATAGGTCAGTAAGATAAATTAATACACCGCTCACCTGAGAACAATGGCTAGGAAAAAGCACAAACCAATTCAGTATTGAAAAGTTTACAGGGGGGGGGGGGGACTTGAATTTTAAACTACCTGAAAATGCTTCCATATCAATATAATAAATGGTTTTGCTGTTCTAGCAAAAGATTTTTTAAAGATGTTTTTCCTATATATTCCTTTGTAAAAATTTGATACCCCATTATGGCCCCTCCCTACCCCCAAGGGGTCATCATTTGAACAAACTTAAATCTACACTACCCGAGGATGCTTCCATATCAATATGACTAAACATGGCTTTGCTGTTCTTTAGAAAAAGATTTCCTTTATATTCCTATGTAAAACTTTGATCCCCCAATGTGACCCCACCCTACCCCCGGGGGTCATGATTTGAACAAACTTGAATCTATACTACCTGAGGATGCTTACATATCAATATAACTAAACAAGGCTTTGCTGTTCTTGAGAAGAAGATTTTTAAATTTTTTTCCTATATATTCCGTTGTAAAACTTTGATCACCCATTGTGGCCCCACCCTACCCCTGAGGGTCATGATTTGAACAAAATTGAATCTATACTACCTGAGGATGCTTACATATCAATATAACTAAACATGGCTTTGCTGTTCTTGAGAAGAAGATTTTTAAAGTTGTTTCCTTTATATTTCTATGTAAAACTTTGATCCCCCATTGTGGCCCCACCTTAACCCCAGGGGTCATGATTTGAACAAACTTAAATCTACGCTACCTGGGGATGCTTCCATATCAATATGACAAATCATGGCTTTGCTGTTCTTGAGAAGAAGATTTTTAGTTTTTTTTCCTATATATTCCTTTATAAAACTTTGATCCCCCATTTTGGCCCCACCCTACCCCCAGGGGTCATGATTTGAACAAACTTGAATCTACACTATGTAACAAAGGTTTCCTATAAGTCTCAATGTTTTTGGGCCAGTGGTTCTTGAGAAGAAGATTTTTAAAATATGCCACCAAATTTTCACTATTTCTGAATTATCTCCCCTTGAATGAGGGTGTGGCCCTTTATTTGAACAAACTTGAATCCCCTTCACCTAAGGATGCTTTGTGGCAAGTTTGGTTGAAATTGGCCCAGTGGCTCTGGGGAAGAAGTCGAAAATGTGAAAAGTTTACAGACGGACGGACGGACAGACAGACGGACAGCTAGACAGACGGACTACAGACAAAATGTGATCAGAAAAGCTCACTTGAGCTTTCAGCTCAGGTGAGCTAAAAATGAGCGACATTATCAGGCAATGCCAATAAATGAAGGAAATACCGATGCATCGTCACAACGTCAGGTGTCCTGAGTCAACAGGGTCCGACGGCAACTCAGGACCCCTGACGTTGTGAGGATGTGATAGAAGGGAAATACCAAGAAAAAGGGAGTTTTAAAGACTTTTTTATTGTACCATGAAGAGGACAACTTATAATTAAGTTAAAACATCACCACAAGATGGAATCGCCCGCGTGGCGCAGTGGTTAGAGCGTCTGCTCCAGAGTCGCGAAGTAAGGAGTTGATCCTTACGTCGCGGGTTCGAATCCCACTGTGGGACGTAGAGACAGGTCCTTCGGATAAGAGAGTATAAATCGAGGTCCCGTGTCGCAGTAGGTGCTGGCACGAAAAAGATCCCTCACTGCTCAATGGCCGTTAGTGCCGAGTATAGGACAAAATTTGCAGCTCTCCACCGGCAAGTGGTGGCGTCTCCATATGAGTGAAAAATTCTCGAGAGGGACATTAAATAACAAACAAACAAAACCACAAGATGGATGCAAAACTTATGTATCCAAACTTTAACTAAAGTATTATTTGAACTGTGCTGGCAACTAGAATTATACACAGAGCAGTTTCTGTTTATCTTTTTATGCCCCGTATCGAAGATTCGAGGGTATATAGTTTTTGCCCTGTCCGTCCGTCTGTCTGTTTGTCCGCAAAAACTTTAACATTGCTCATAACTTTTGATTGGTTGGAGCTATAGCTTTCATATTTCACATGTGTATTCCTGGTGACAAGACCTTTCTTTGGGTACCATCCTATTGGACATTTTGACCTTGGAGTTTGACCCAGTTTTACAAAACCGTGGCCATAACTTTTGAACAATTGGTGCTAGGGCTTTCATACTTCACATGTGTAGTCCTTGTGACAAGACCAACAACTTTGACCTTGGAGTTTGATGTTTGATCTACTTTTGGAAAACTTTAACCTTGGCCATAACTTTTGAACAGTTGGTGCTAGGACTTTCATTTTTCACATATGTCGTCCTTGTAACAAGACTTTCCTTTGGATACCAACAACTTTGACCCATTGACCTTGACCTTGGAGTTTGACATACTTTTGAAAAACTTTAACCTTGGCCATATCTTTTGAACAGTTGTTGCTAGGGCATTCATATTTCACATGTATATTTCTTGTGAGAAGGCCTTTACTTGGGCACCATAATTTTTTACTTGTGACAAGACCTCCATGTAGCTACCAACAATTATAGCCCATTGACCTTGACCTTGGAATTTGACCTACTTTTGGAAAACTTTAACCTTGGCCATTACTTTTGAAGAGTTGGTGCTAGGGCTTTCATGCTTCACATATGTCGTCCTTGTAACAAGACTTTCCTTTGGATACCAACAACTTTGACCCATTGACCTTGACCTTGGAGTTTGACCTACTTTTGAAAAACTTTAACCTTGGCCATATCTTTTGAACAGTTGTTGCTAGGGCATTCATATTTCACATGTATATTTCTTGTGAGAAGGCCTTTACTTGGGCAACATAATTTTTTACCATTTGACATTGTCCTTCACGTCTCATTTACTTTTGAAAAACTTTAACCTTTTCCATATCTTTTCAATGATTGCTGCTAGGACTTTCATATTTCACAGGTATATTCCTCGGGACAAGACATTACTTTGGTTACCAACATACGTGATTTCCACTGGAGAAAGTTTATCCTTCGCTAAAAGTTGCCATACAGGGGCATCAGTGTTTCACAAACACATCTTGTTCAATCCATGAATTATCAAAAAACTAAGCATTCAGGTTCTTCTCGATTTTGACATGATAGATATGCATGCATGGTAACCATCTGTCTGATTTAATTAAACATTCATGTCATGAAATACTGAGCGCCCCCCTCCCCCCTTCTCAGTATTGTTTCAAAGTATGTACATCATGTACCAATTTGATAAATATACATAGACTAACTCCAAAAAAAGCACAATACCGCCATTCAATCCATTAGCTATGTACAACAAACATTAGCACTGCGGCTATTGCACACCCTCATCCCATTACAATGCATAAAAGGTTATGCATCTAAGTGGTGAGATTGTCAATTTGTTAGAGCTAATGTTAAAAGTATGAACTTAAAACATTGAATAGCCTACCTGACACAGATACATGTTCCTAAAAAATCAAAGACCTTTAATTTCCTTTTTTTCTCAGAAATTATAGTGAGGCATTTGCCTCACTTGCCTCAGTGGTTGTTTCGGCCTTGTCAGATTAATGCAAATTTGTACAATTGATGCCTTGTAGATCACGTGGAAATATATTAAAAGCAACCTAATTAAGGGAAATTGTGTCTCACACTTAAGGAAAAAATCAAAGTATTACCCGGGGAAAAAAGCAGATGGGAAAAGAGGGAAAAAAAATCGACTGACCTTTCAGCTTTTGCCTTGAAGTCAACATTGATGAAAGGTTTAAAATTTCAGTACAAAATCTCGAAGAGAGCTAAAGTTATCATCGGGAAACCATTTTATGCAATAAATATATTTTTGACCTTGAGTGATTTTACCTAAAAATCAATAGATGTCTTCTTTAAGTCATTGAAAGTTTTAAGACTTCATTTAAAAAGCTCAGGGACAACTAAGGATATCACCTAGAAACCAGTTCTGCAATGTATGAATTTCTGACCTTGACATTTGAACCTAAAAAATAATAGGGATCTTCTTTAAGTAACTGGATTTATTTAAAAGGCTCAGATAAAACTAAAGTTAGCATCTGGAAATCATTTTGCAATGCATGAATTTCTGACCTTGACCTTTTGAATTCAAAATCAGTAAGGGTCTTGTTTAGGCCAATGGGAGTTGTAATACAAATTTTCATTGCAAAAGCTCAAAGGCCTTTCAGATAGCGTTCAGAAAAGGAAGTGTTTCACACAGAACAGATCGAATGTATGAATTTCTGACATTCACCTTTGAAATTTTGACCTCAAAATCATTAGGGGTCTTCTTTATAACATTTAAGGTTAGGATTTAAAACTTCATTGAAAAGGCTCAGAGAAAACTAGTTATCACCATGAAAACCATTTTTACAATGTACGTATGACTTTCTGACATTAACCATCTGACCTCAAATCAATTGGGGTTTTTGATGCCATAAGGATTTATGATATAAAATTTCATTGCAAAGCCCAAAGACTTTTTGAGATATCATCTAGAAACGAAAGTGTTATACACAGATAGAAAGACAGACAGACGGGTAGATGGATGGACAGACCCAAATTAATATCCCCATTTTCAATGAAAGTGGGGTAACAAAAAAATAAAAATCTTCAAGAACAGCAGGGCCAAGATTAATCAAATTAAGCACACCTTCTGTCTAGCGGAATTGACTTGATTATAATTGCTTTATGCCGAGTTAGCAATATTTCAACCATATTTCGGTTGATGCAGTCCAAATCATGATCCCTGGGGCTAGGGTGAGGCCACAAATTGAAAAATACATGAAATATCTGTGAAAGTTATCTCAAAAACAGCAGGCCTCTTGTTCCGGTTTGTATCAGTGTCAGGATAGATTCTCATGGTGAAACTTAAGTTAAGTTTATGTATAATACAAAGCGTACTTTCATAGCTTTTATTAGTTATAGATACGATCGGATCTAGAATCGAGGACAACAAATGAAATCTAAGAATATAAAGGCGTGAAGAGTATAGTTATCAAAATAAAATTAATTGATCATTGAATGAATGTCCGATAGAATTAATATAATCTGTAATTAATATTGTAAAGGGCTTAATTTCAGAATAAATGTGTAAATTACTTGATTATCTCGGGTTGTACATAATTTATATTCATTATCGGGAAAACAGTTAGTTACCTAGGAAAATTGTCTATGGAAATATCTGTTTACATTGTATCAAAGATTATAATCATATCTCTTATTAGGCAGATAATTGTAATTTATTACACGTATTGAAATCTGAACAGTATACCGTTACGACTATCTTGCCTTTTGTAAGACGACTGGTTCCTCAGTTGGGGCTACTATAAATACACGTTTCATTTGTTAAAATTATACTTTTCTACATTTAAATAAATTATTTATTTCAAACATTGACAAATATCAAATGGAATTTCTTATTGTACACCTACAAAAGTCTTCATACAATTTTACTTCCTATATAAGTATACCTACGAGAGTAGGATGATGCATATTTAAAATAAAACAGATTTTATTTATTTTATCGAATATTCGAATATATTCGAATACTTTCATTGAATATTCGAATATGAATTATTGACAAATTGACATCCCTAAACTTAACAAATCATTTTGGAAAAAATCATACTGATGCATTCAAGAACTGATGAAGATAAATCTTAATCAATCTGATTACAACTAAGAAATAAATAAACTTCATAGATGTCTTGAAATTTAATGTTAACTTCTACTGAATTCATTGTTGAGTCCCTTATTCCTTGTTTACAGGAATGATCCTAAACCTCCCTTGTTTCCGTCCAGTCAATTTCAAGAAAATATAGGCCAAACGTCAAACTATTTGCAACACAAATTATTTTGTCAAAAATTTAATCTAACATGTAATATGGAGATAACGAACAGTTATCAAGCTCAAAAGTCCATTGAAACAATACAAATAGGGAGCAGAGCAAACACGGATCTCTAAAAGTCAGGAGGCGTAAGCATCCCCTTTCGACCGGTCACACCCGCCTTGTGCTCCTGTCACGAACGGGCAAACGGAAAAATCTGTAGACAATTTAGTGTGTAAATAATGGCCAAACAATTAGTATGACAAACTTCCAAGTCAGCATGACTTAATGATAGGTTGTACTTGCTGACAGTCATTTTATCGACCATAGAACTTGCGAAATGATGACTTCAAGCGAGATTGTTGAATCCTTGTTTCATCAAATTGTTTGTCAATAGCTTACCTCATTTAAGAAATTGTTCTACGAAGAGGATGTTCTTGCATATCGAATCAACTGGGAGACAAAACTCCATATACAGGTGATAAGGGTATATTGCTACATAAATACAGGAAGTTGACGGTAGAAAAATTGAAGTCATCACGTTTATCATAAAGTTTCTTTGCTTGGTTACCATTAACGTCTTTACTACTAAAACATCCAAATAAAAATGGGTGTCAGACTCTGTGGTATCTTTTACATCAAGTTCACTGGGATATATCGAGTCAACATAGGAACGGAAGTAATTATTGTTAAAACGTCGTCGATATATCTAAATGTTGAGTTCAAGGCCACAGCTTCTCATGTAGAAGTTTTTGAATAAATTCTGCTTCATATGAAAATAAAAATAAGTCTGGTAATAAAACGGAGCAATTAGTACCCATGGGAATTCCAACAGATTATTAGAAGACTTGATCTCCAAAAACTCTTCACATAGTAGTACATGTATATAAAAAATATCTTACACAGATCAACATTCAAGAAAATTGAAAAAGCTGATCCACAGATCTCTATTCAGCAATAAAGATGAATTGTTTAGGTTTACCTATTCTCTGATAGCTGACACTATTATCAATCCAACAGAAACTACATAAGATAAAACAGAACAACAATCTATCAATCAAATATATTTAATTATCATATCAATTACTACAAATTAATAATTCCTGATAATTAAATATTTGAAATGGAGGAGCAGTAATACATTTTATAAAAGAACCTTCTTTCCCAAATTATTCTCTAAACAACTACTGAGAATGTAGTTTTGTAGACTTCATTTTATATGGAATATTTATCAGTAATACATAAACTTTAGATCACCAAATTTTTGCAACACTTTATCTTCATGAGAAAGTCATGAGGTATTTATAAGCAAGCGAAAATTTTCACAAATTCTGGTTTTTGTTGTATGTAATCTTAATTATAAGAATAAATGCGAGAATGAATTTCTTTGGGAACAGACTTGGGTAATTATGCCAAATTAAAGTTCTCCTAAATAAAAACTGATTTACAGTACATGCTACAATGATCAGATCTAGCAGATCATTTGGACTCTGTAAAAAAAATGATTTACTTTATATGCTAAATGCAAAAATATCACCAGTATCAGGTTTTTTAAAATACATGTACCCCTTTAAGTGCACCATCCCATTCATTTGTCATCAAGTAAAGTACTTTTAGTACATCATAGTGCATATTCAGGACTTTACGTATTAAAAACTTTGAGACAGTTTCCCTATCATTGTACTTTCTGTCTTTCAGACACCATTTCTAATAAATACAACCAATTTAAGAGGGAACAAAATAAATTGTAGAATTGATAATATAATATTTTTACATGATCAGATCCTGGGAATTACTTTCAAATACATAAATTCCATACCAGACAGTATTTATCCATACATGTTGTAGTAGTGAATACTTAGAACCTATCAAGAAAGGCCAATAACTCTTATAAAATTTATAACTCAATAGAGTCTTGACATAATTCTGACATTGGTAAACATTAATCTAATCATCTTAGAAAAATAGCACTGCTATCAATCACTGAAAGAAAGGATTCTCCTCAAAATGAACACTGTGTCACAAGGTAATGGCAGTCTTAGGATGGGAGGATATAGGGTCTGCTATCCTAGAATGTCTATATCTCCCTCCCCATCCCCTGGCTCTATCTCGGATACAGACAGAACTTCTTCTCTGGCAAAGAGACCGCTACGTTTCTCTTTCAACATCTGGCGGTACTCTTTTCGTTGTCGTTGTTTGTAAAATTTCTGTCTTGCTTTCTTTTCCTGTGTTATCTGTTTCTAAATAAGAGGAAGTGTGAGAATTACAATCTAAAATTCTATGAAGTATCAATTGTATCATGTTTCTCAAAAAAAAAAAAACAAACCTATTCCGCTTCTGCTAGTATTACATAAAAGGTTTCTTATTCAGTATTCTATACATATACTGTGTAATCATTTTAATTCATAGGGGTAAAGCTCTTTTCAGGGATTGCTTAAAATTTACAGATTAGTGGAGATATTTATTTTTGTGGGCAAAGATCTGACAATGAAAGTTTGTTCATCAATCTTAATCAAAATTGTAAACCGACTGCTAAAGGTTATAGCCATGAAATCCACACAAACTGAATCTCCTTAAAATATAAATCTTTCTTTCTTATAGCTTAAAATTCCCTGCTATATCTACCTTATTGCTTTGTTTACTGTGTTTCTTTGGTGAGATGTTAGAATTGCCCTCGCTTGGTATACTAGGGCTCTGTGCATGTCCAGCTATGTAATCCTGAATTTTCTGCAACTTTTCATCATCTATGGAGTATATATCTAGAGAAACAAAATAAACATAGGTAATCAAAGATTACAATGCTTACTCTAATTGACAAATATTATCTAGAGCTATTGCAAAGTCTCACACAAAATGAATGTTCTGCTAATGTGTATCCCTATATGCAACATCCAATGAAGTTTGGTCAATATAAGGCTTATCGTTACTTGGGAATAAACTTTACTCTAAAAACTTAAACAGGTCACTCATTAGGAGTGAAATGGTTCACTGTGGTATCGATTCGCCGCAGTATTCTTGTCAGTTTGATACAAAATCTCTATTTTCAGTTAAGTTCATTTTTCAGTCGAGATCTTTATTCAGTCAAGGTTTGGCATTCATAAAAAAAAAAACCGCTATACCGTATGATTAAACTTCAAAAATGTGATTTTTGAAGACTAATAGTTTGTACAATAATCATTAACAGACAATTCGTTCTAATCAATTTCTTCTCATCAATTTGCAGGTAGATTAAGTTACTGGTTTTAGTGACACAAAACATAAAAAACTCTGAATTTGTTTTCTTCTACCAAAATGTATCATATTGAAAATAACCGTACCACAACAAAATAATACGATACATGCCGTATCATGAAGGAGGCATATTGTTTCATCCCTATCACTCATCCAGAATATATAGGCCAGATCCAATATCCACAGTAAGTTTTGTAGTGCACATCCATAGATTCATCATCCATGCAAGTTTGGTCTAGGTTGGGCTCCAAAACCTTTAACCTAGTCACTCATCCATAAAATGTAGGTCAGATCCATGTTTGGTAGTTTGCGTCCCAAGATGCATCATCAATGCAAGTTTGGTCACCATAGGGCTTATAGTGACTTGGGAATGGATTTGTTCTAAAAACTTTAACCTGATCTAGAAAATGTGCGTCAGGTCAAGCATCTAAAGCAAGTCATCAAGTGTACTCCCATAGATGAGTCATCTATGCAAGTTTGGTCCAGGTAGGTCTTATAGCTACTTAGGGATGGACTTCCTCTTAAAACTTTATAACCAGAAAATGAAAGCTATTCGTCTACCCTCTGTCAACAGATGACGCAAAAAATATTTTAATTTTTCAGGTTTATTCCCTTCTTAACATGCCTAAGATAAATATATATGTTATCGTGCACCTTTGGATGTCATGTTACATGTGATGTACATGCAACTTTGTTAGAGCACACAGGTTACATGTGATGTACATGCAACTTTGTTAGAGCACACAGGTACTTAGGTTTCGGTTTGTAAATAATAAGTAATGTGTCTGGTCCACCTGATTCAAAACTACAAATTCTGGCCATCCAACTGTTCAAAATTCTACAGGGATTCCGGGAAAATTAAAAAAATTTCTGAGAAAGTTCCTATTACATTTTTAAAAATTTCCTGGAATGCCTCTAAAATTTCAAACTATTAGAATGGCTGGAAATTGTCGTTTTGACACAGGTTTTACATTTGCACTTGGTTGTTGGCACATTAAAGCAAAGTTTGAAAAAGTGATCAAAAATTATGTATTTATAGGAATTATTTGCTAAGCATTTGCAAGATGTGAAGGTTTTTACAAGTAAGCAATGTTCTGAGACGTACAGTGCATGAAGTGCGGTAGGTGCAGTGGCATTTTTAAAGAACAATCCATGTAAACAAGCAGATGCCATTAAAGAGCCTGCTTACCTTCACTCTCTTTACATATCAATAAGTATACATATTTATAAACCAAGACCCAAGTACCTGTGTTAGAGCATGCACTCTTTACTGAAGACCTACTGGCAACTAGTCAAATGCCTGTGCACCATTTGTCAAAACATAGGTAATCAAAGATTACGAAGCTCACCTCGACGAATGTTATCTACATGTAAGGCAAATTTCACATCATATTTTTTTTCTAGTTAGGGTACATCCCAAGATCAATATCCATGCAAGTTTGATTTAATTATAGACCTGCATGCTCAAAAAACTTTTGACCTGTTTAGTAATCAAGAAAATTTTGGTCAGTTCCAACATCCAAAGCAAGTCTGGAAGTTTTCATCCTTAGATGCACCATCTATGCAAGTTTAATCATAACAGGCCATAATATTATATAGCTACTCCAAAAAAATTACCCTGGTCACTTATCTGGAAATTGTACGTCAGATTCAGAATCCAGGGCAAGTCTGGAAGTGTCCATCCCTAGATACATCATCCATGCTAATTTGGTTAAAATATGGCTAAAATTCACTCATGTGGAAAATCTAGGTCAGATCCAGCATTCGAAGCAGGTTGGTTAGTGTACATCCCTAGATGCATCATCCATGAAAGTTTGGTCCAGGTAGGGCTTACAGTTACCTGGGAACGAGACTACTCCTAAATCTAAACCTGGTCTCACATGTGGAAAATCTAGGTCAGATCCAGCATCCGAAACAAGTGTGGTAGAGTCCATCCCTGGATGCATCATCTATGCAAGTTTGGTCCAGGTAGGGCTTATAGTTACTTGGGAATGGACCTGCTCCTAAAATTTTAACCTGGTCACTCATCTGGAAAATCTAGGTCAGATCCAGCATCCGAAGCAAGTGTGGTAGTGTCCATCCCTAGATGCATCATCCATGCAAGTTTGGTCCAGGTAGGGCTTATAGTTACTTGGGAATGGATCTGCTCAAAAAACTTTAACCTGGTCACTCATCCGGAAAATCTAGGTCAGATCCAGCATCCGAAGTAAGTGTGGCCATGTCCATCCCTAGATGCATCATCCATGCAAGTTTGGTCAAGGTAGGGCTTATAGTTACTTGGGAATGGACCTGCTCCTAAAACTTCAACCTGGTCACTCATCCGGAAAATCTAGGTCAGATCCAGCATCCGAAGCAAGTGTGGTAGTGTCCATCCCTAGATGCATCATCCATGCAAGTTTGGTCAAGGTAGGGCTTATAGTTACTTGGGAATGGACCTGCTCCTAAAACTTTAACCTGGTCACTCATCTGGAAAATCTAGGTCAGATCCAGCATCCGAAGCAAGTTTGGTAGTGTCCATCCCTAGATGCATCATCCATGCAAGTTTGGTCCAGGTAGGGCTTATAGTTACTTGGGAATGGATCTGCTCCTAAAACTTTAACCTGGTCACTCATCCGGAAAATCTAGGTCAGATCCAGCATCCGAAGTAAGTGTGGCCATGTCCATCCCTAGATGCATCATCCATGCAAGTTTGGTCAAGGTAGGGCTTATAGTTACTTGGGAATGGATCTGCTCCTAAAACTTTAACCTGGTCACTCATCCGGAAAATCTAGGTCAGATCCAGCATCCGAAGTAAGTGTGGCCATGTCCATCCCTAGATGCATCATCCATGCAAGTTTGGTCAAGGTAGGGCTTATAGTTACTTGGGAATGGACCTGCTCCTAAAACTTTAACCTGGTCACTCATCTGGAAAATCTAGGTCAGATCCAGCATCCGAAGCAAGTTTGGTAGTGTCCATCCCTAGATGCATCATCCATGCAAGTTTGGTCCAGGTAGGGCTTATAGTTACTTGGGAATGGGACTTGCTCCTAAAACTTTAACCTGGGACGCCGACGCTAACGCCGACGCCGACACCGACGCCGACGCCGACGCCGGGGGTATAGCATAAGCTCATCTCGACTTCGTCGAGGTGAGCTAAAAACTGTACACATTGTAAAACATTTTGTGTCATCTGTACAGCTGAAGCTTGCATAAACTGACCTATAACAAACTCCTTGTCTGTTGGAGATACGTGTGCTGAAGGGTTTATAATTCGTATGACCTCCAATTGCTCTCGAAGACCCAATTCGTTACTGATAACTCGACTAAGGTCCTCAATGACTGAAGTTTTTTCATCATCAGGTAGTGTGCTCCTACAAAAAAAATTAGAGACTGATTTTACCGTTAATTCATTTCTTCATTTTAATCAATAGATAACTGAATGAAGTCAATGTAAATTTTGTAGGTTTCTATTTTTTATTCAAAAACTAACTTAAGTTTAATGAACTGAACTTACTTGCACATTATTAAAATTCAATGAGAATGACATTCTTCATATCATTAGGTCAAACATCTGTGTTTGTAAACATGGTCATGATCTCTGTTAATGTTTACATTTTACAGGATGTTTTCAATTTGTTAATCAGCACACATCGCTGAACATGAACTGACAACACTGTGTTTGTTTACCGGTAATTTTTTCACCCTAACATTTCTACTCTGAGTTTTCTGGATTATAGTTTTAATATTTTTCATTAATACACAATAATTTTTTTCATTGTTCTTCAATATTAAAAATAGATTATACAAAATATGTACTTTGTGAAAGTGCAAGGATGTGTGTCAATCAAACGTATCCTGAAATTCATAGTTTTAAAAAATTTCAAATAAAACAAGTTTGTAAATGCACTTTTATAATATATCAGTCTGAAATGTTATAGAATAATATAAGTCATGATATTATATCAAAAATTTTAGAAAATATTAACTTCAACATGTTCAAATCTGTGTCCTAGCCCCTTTAATGATACAAGCATTGGTGACAAAATTTTCATCATATCACATAAAATCCAAGAGCCGGAGACAGGAATATATGTTATCAATGGTCTGAAAATTTTTAAAATATTACGCAAAACTGGATGGACAATTGTAAGCATACAGGGTGGTCACTTGGTTTCTTACTTGTTGTGAACCAATAAGCAGTAATGGGAATCGGTAAGAATTTTATAATCAATGATTGGTTTTGCATATCTAACTATTGGTTATCATTGGAAAGCAAAATTTTCTAGAATAAACAAGTTTTCTGAAAAAGAGGAAATCAAATTGAAAATTAACATATCTTCAGCAAAATTTTTTTTCTTCTCTCTTTTACTCACATAAAATGTTAAGAATAATAAAAAAAAAAAACTATTAAGAGTAACCTACAAATACACTGTACTTGTATGAAGACTTTTTTATTGTTGGAAATGCATGTGGAGCACCTGATATGAGTGAAAAGCATGATGTGTCATTACAAAGTGCCTATTTTTAGAGTATTAGATAGGTCGTGACTGGAATCTTGCATTCCAAAAATATGGCTTGTTGATAAAAAAAGAACAACTTATTAATTGAAATAAAATTTTTATAATAGAGCACTTGGAGTATACCAACAATCAACTGATATTCAATTATAATCGATGATTTGAACACTATCATTTGGGAATTAAAATACACTCTGAAGGCAGGCTGCCAGTACCTTTTTTGATAATTTAGCTGTCCGATATGTTTCTCATAATGAAAGTCTTTTGAATCCTACTTCCTCCCAAGCACTTAATATAAGTAATGAGTGTACACCTAAATATTAAACTACCAATGAGAAACATTCCCTCATTTTTTTTAGTCTTGCTACTGTATACAGGGTTATTTTTGCCCCATGTTATTTTCACCCTTTTACACTTGCAAACAATTTTGCCCCATTTTAAATTCACCCAGTCACAGTTCTGCATAAGAAATTCTACTGTGTTCTTTGAATTTGCCCCATTTTAAATTCACCCACCTGTGAGTAGGGCAAAAGGGGCGAAAATAAAATGGGGGCGAAAATTTCTCTGTATACAGTAATTATTTTAAATCAACTTACCATTTGAGATTTTTGAAGTTAACATGGTTTTTCTTAGTCTGTGAGGTTGAACTTTTGTGACTTGATGCTGATGAAGTAGACAGACTGGAATTTGAGATATCTGCTGCTGATGAAACTGTGTCTACTGCTGCTGTCCATGCAGTATTGTCTAAAAGACATGTATCTACAAATATATAGAGGATATTCAATGCTTCATAGATGAATATGGTATTTCACGAGTGGGACAGGAATTTTTGATAGCACAAGTGAAAATATAAAAAAAATCATGTCTCACATGTGAAATTCCATATTCATCTACAAAACATTGAATTTTCTGTTTATTACATTTTCTTAGATTCTCCCTTTGCTTCTGTCTTTTCGTAACAGTGTCATAGGCTGTGACGTTGAGACTTCAACCGTAGATCTAGCAAAGCGATTGCAAGATTGAAAAACGTTGTAAACATGGATTTTTAACGACATATTTGGAAAAAATTTGGCAGTATAACTATTAGTCTCTGTCAGGATGGCTTATTACCTCTATCTTATAATACTCCAGGGATTTTTTTTAAAACACTCTTCGTGAAGGGAAGGAAAATTGTAAGTTTTGCTGCACTTCTGATATTCTTACACTGTGAGAATACCATTTTGATATCCTTTCACACTGTGTCAGAATATCACTTTTATTGAGTAAATAAATTACAGTATTTCACTGTTGAAAATGTAATAAAAATGTATCATTTATGTTATATCATATACTGATATACAGTGCCTCATGATCCTATATTATTTCCATAATAACTCAAGACATTTTCTATGTATCTTATATGATAACTTTTTACATACATATTCTTTTTTATTTTAAACATCTTTCATATTTGATTGAAAAGTGCCACTAAATTGTTTTTCTGGTTTTTAACATCTTTCATATTTGATTGAAAAGTGTCACTAAATATGAACATGATGAAATAAACAGAATCTGAGAGTCAAATGTTTCATTTATTGTAACAATTGGAACTTAGACAGGGGGTAATATATCCACTTTCAAAGTACATAAGATTATTCAGTAAATAAATTTAAGCCCATTGATTAACACAGTAAATAAGAGTAAATAATAAGCAGAGCCAAAAAAAGTATCCCAGTGTTCTCAGATTTTTTTCTTTTGAGTCCAAGGACTCAGGATTTTTGAGAAATATGATTTGATATCAAATTTACAGGTATCGTATGCAATGGAGTGTAACTAATCTTATCGGTACCCTACCATGGGTGAAATTCATGATAAAATCAAGCCACATTGCACATACAAGCAATAATCAGGGTTTCTTGATAAAATACAACATTCCTAGCTGTGAAAACTGCTACCATGTATTTACATCCATACTACCATGTATTTACATCCATCGAAGTTCAGACACTATGGAGTAATAAAATTGATACAGAGCTCCAGATAAGGTGCATATTTGTAGAAATACGCATTGAATTTTACAAAATACGCATTGAAAATTAAAACTGGGCATACAGTTACGCATTAGCATTTGTAAATAAGCATTACACAACGAAAGTCTGCGTACGACGGATTAAATAATACAAGTACAACTTAGCTAATAATATGAATTGAGGTTGGCCCAGTGTTTGATTTTTCTCAAAACGAAATTGATTTAAAAACGTTATAATAACCAGGGATATTCTAGTAATGGCTACGACGATTTCCAATTCGGGAGAAAGAATTCAAAGATTTAGATCAAAATCGATTTCTTTAAATAGGACTATGCACTAGACATACTTACTTTTAAGGAAATTCCACCCTCCTGTGATGTCATAGGTTTTAATAAAATCTGTTATTGATTTAAATTCATACCCAACAGAAAAATATCTTTCAAAAGAGTGTTTTTCAATGGGTGTAATGAAAAATATTGTAAAGTAAAAGAGTTAAAAAATTGAATATTTTCCTTATTTAATCAATTATTTAATCCTTAAAAAATGTTCCTAAGGGCAGTAACTCCTGCTGATGCATCTTCATTCAGGCATTTTCTATATTGTACCTCTATTGTAAAATGGTTTCCCTGATATTCACAATTCAAACATATTTATAAAGTAACAATTATTTTGGAACTTTCAAAATCAGAATTATGTATTTGAACCAGTTTTTACATAGTTTTAACAATACTGTTTACTAAAATGTACGATTTTTTTTATGCTGACATATATTTCTTATTTATGTATGTCTCACGTCTTAAAAGATATGGCAACCTATACATTTTTGGTGATTGTTTATCAATTTAAACTATATTCAGTGAAAATTAATGCAGTTCTTTTATTTTGAACCAATAAATTCGTGAGGGTGGAAATACCTCAAGCACACAAAAGCTTGTGTCATCTATGTAAGATGATAGTGTAACAAGTGTAAAACATAAGAAATAAAAAAAATGTTAGCCAGAGAAAAAAGTTTAAACGGCAATGTTATCTAAGAGTACATGATGTGCAAAAAAGCAGTGAAGACCATATTAAAACCATATCGAAAAAAGAGCTCTGTTTGATTTCAAGACCAATTAAATAAATAAATTGCTGTAGAGGGACATTACGCATAACATTTATTTGAATTTACCGATTAAGAGCTCCCTTAGATTCTCTAGAGTTCTCTATTTAGTAGGACGGTTAAACATGATTTGAACATCACGTTTCTTATGATGGGTTCATCGCCAGTATCTGATTTCACGAAACCTTCATATTAATAAAGGTTTTTTCTCTCGGTTTACTCATGCTCTGATATCATCTTCAGTGGAGGAAAAGTTTTATATGCCTATGGAAACTTTACCTACTGTATGATCTTCCTTGTCCAAAAGGAATGTTTTTCAGTTTTAGCAAAAGGTACTGTTGGCATTTTTAAAATTTTATTGAAATAAATAGGGAAACGTCCTTTGTAGTTTTTCTTTCCTATTCTAAAATACCTTTATTTCGATAACAAGCTCAAAATCACTAATTTAATAGATGTCAAAACATTAATATATGAACTAAATACTCTTAAATTATTTTGCTGAAAATCAAAATCTGCATTGATTTGAAATTCTGGGAGTAAATACACTTTGGGCTAAAAAATTATCTGGAGCTCTGTGATATATCAAATACCTGAGAAAAAGAAGAACGTGTTTGAGGAAAAGTATTGCTTCTTGAAATTTAAAGCTCATATTTTTATTAACTTTATGATATCTACATTCAAGATGATGACAGGTAGTTTTCAATTCTACCTCTGATTTTTTAAGATGCCTCAATTTTTTTTTGCTCACAACAAGTCCTCAGAAGCAAAAGCCTTTTTTAATAAAGTTGGGTCTTACTAAGTCTAAGATTATTTTGCTGCCTCCATTACAGATTCTTGGATTAATGAGAACCCTGGTAGTATGAGTTGAAGGAATTCATAAATAGGGAACACTTAATTATTGAAATTTTGAGGGAATCACAATGCTGAATATTTATAATATACAGATCAATATGTCTGTATACTGAATGATACCAGTAATATACATGTACAGATCGTGTTTACAGCTGAAATTTATACCTTCTTCAGTACCACTCAGGATGTTGACAAGAGATGAAGAAATATCGCCAAACAAAGTTTCCTGAAGTTCTGAAACTATGTCAAGGGGAATCTCGTCTCCACAATCTGAGCTATTCTCGCTGAAGAAGGTACTGTTTAGATTCTCACTGCATTCCGAGCTCACCTCACTTGGGCAAGAACTCGAGGTTGGGGATGATTTCTTCACTCTGCAGAAAACATCACACATAAATAATGAAGAAATGATCTTTCATTGGGAAAAATAGACCAGGACCAGAACACTTGAATAAATGGTCCAGGTGTTCAAAATTCTGGTAAAAATACCCTTGCATATCAAAACTTTTGTTATGGGCAAGGTTAAATTTTTTTGCAGACAAACAGTAGGACGGACAGACTTTGATGATGGGGGCATAATACTGGACGTGGACCTTAAAGCTCTCAATTGTTCCCTCAAGATATTCCTTTTCAACTCTGAAATACAGCTTAATCATTTTAAGTTTTTATAATAGACCTGAGAATAAACTAATTATCACCAAGGTAGATTTACAGACATACAAGTAGCAGTATTAAACCTACTGCATAAAAATATTTGCACTGTAAAATATCCCATTTAGGATATTACAATTGGCATTTGAAAAGTTCTACAAATGGTTTGACAAAATGTTAAACATTTAATGGAAGTTTTTTATTTTATTATCTTGAAAAAGAGCAGGAAAATATGCACACATTATGACATCACTTTGCATTTATTGTGACATAATTACTCCAAAAATGACATCAGGTATTCAGCCCTCTGGCTGATATGGGACCTCTCACTATGCAATATTCTCAGTCTATATATTATCAATATCTATTGGATATTAAAGCCCTTAATGCACACCTGTATTGCACTGCATATACCTGTTTAAATAGGTGAAGTTGTGTACTTCTGACAAATCTGACAAATTCGACTCCAGAAAACTGCTCCTCATGTTGTGACCCAACATAACTTCCTCACACAGCCATGGACTACAATGTATTAAAAGAAAAGGCATTAATAAACCTCATATTGTTGACCACAATGGAAAGCAATCTACTAATTCTAATCTACAAATAAAAACTTGGATCAACCAAGTCTGAAAACTTTTTTTTAAAGAGCTAATCATATTGCTAAATTTTATGCTCAGTTAGTTAACTGTAATGGCAGTCTTTATTACAAAATTATTACAAAATCCACCACTTCATTGTTAACAACACCGCCTGCAAGTCTAAGTGAACTATCTTTTGTGCTCCCATTCCAAATATGGCTTCTTGCTCAAAGTGTCATGCTTACAAAAGTGACCGAAACACTGCAAGTTCGCCAAAAATGTACATCTGAAAACATATTCTAAATAATTTTACTGTAGTCGATGGAGTTAAAACTAGAAAGTGGCCTGTTGGTGTAAACTGTGAAAAGTATGTGGGTAAAATTTTCCCGCCCCCTTTGCGCATATAGGAAAGGAAAATAGCTCCCTCTTACCTGTTTGTTGAGGTATCTGCTAGCATGTTTGAGTAAATGCAAGCAATTTTTTATCTCTAATTTACAACAAATTATCAAAAACGTCCTAAATACTTCATTTTTCTTTCGTATAGCAGAATACCAATAAAGAAAATAATTTACTCCATGTGTAACCAACGTGGACGTGAAACATGTGCGTCATCAATGAGCACGTTTGTTAGAAAAATTCTGATTGGTCAGAAGAATGATTAAAAAACCTGCACAGGTTTCTTCATTATCCCGGAATAATCATGTGATTTATGTAATTTAGCAAAAATTTGAAAATTTGTTAACACTTTTAATATTCTTAATTAAAAACTTTACAAAAAAATATCGATCCACACAGTTTCATCAGTTTTAATATGCCAAAACATAAAAACAGACACTTAGTATCTGAGAAAAAGGGGGGGGGGGTAGATGGGCTAGTTTTCTTCCCAAGAATAGTCTTTTAACTGTTTTAAAATAGATATTAACCCTCACCTCCCCACTCCAAAGGAAAAGGTTTTGCGATTTTGACAGTTTTAAGGAGTTTTTTTTCACAATTTGTTTTTTTTTTCGGGGTAGGGGGTGCATAATTATTTTTTCAGCACTTTTCAAAATTTTCTGCCCCCCTCCCCACTCCGTTTGGAAAACGATGCCACAATGTACGTCCCAGTTAATAATAGCTTCAAAACTGACAAAACAAGCATTGAATTCATGCTGAAGTGTATCATACAGATATCAGTGTGAGATTTTTGGTTCATGGTTAATAAAGAAATTAATTACACGTTGATTTGTTTTGTTTTGTTGTTGTTTGTTTGTTTGTTTGTTTGTTTGTTTGTTTTAAGAAATAGACAAGAAAATTAAATAAACTTGAAGTAAAACCAATTTAATAATAATAATAATTTAAAAAAAAAACTTATAAAATGTTTGATAGGATGGTTGTAAATATTTGTCTGTTTCGTTTTGGGAGTGTTTTCTGCTTGATCGTGATGCATGCGTCAGGAGAACGTTTGTCTTTATGACGTCATAATAAAATGATGTCATAATGTATTTACCTGCATTCTTGGAAATTATCCCTGGAACCCATGGTTGACAATCTTCTGTTGTTTGAAGATATATTGTCAACTGCATTGTGACATTGTGTGTTCACAGTACCAAAAGATTTTTTTTGAAGAGGTGTGATTTTCCGACTATTTATTTACTTCGCCCGATTAATTAGATGGGCAGTATGTAGGAGGAAAAGTCTTGGTAAACATTCGGAACGACTACTAGAAGGAAAAGCAGCCGTTGCCGATTTTTATATTTTGTTCAAGAGTTTTCTCTTAAGGTAAGAAATCAATACGTGAGAATATGATAATGTATATGCTATACATGTTCATTGCTATAACCTAAATGAATATATTTTGATATAATTTTATAAGTTTCTGCACGTTATGTACATAATTTATATTCTCTATTCTATTCTATATATATCCGTACAAAATGGTGACGTTGTCAATTTCACATATTTTGACAAGATAATTACCTTGACTATAAAACACCTCTCTATTTTAAATTTCTTCATAAGTGTTTTTTAATTAAGCTGCAAGTTATCTTTATTACCGGAGATTTGTGAGTTCTACTCATAAAACATATTTGTGTAATATGACGAAATGTATAAATTAAAGCTAAGAATTCGTTAAGAAGACGATTTAAAACTTTTATTTCAGGTATAAAAATTAAAATATTAACAAAAATATGGAATCTCGGAGAATAGGATCCCTTGCATCGGATCGAACACATTCTGATCCACTTTCCACTATCTGGGAAACAAACGGAAGACCCTGTAGATGCCGTACTGGTTACGGATCCTGTCACAGCCTCAGCAGCTGTTCGCTTGAGATTTACATGGAAAGCGATGTTTCTTCATTTGGTTCTACGCCTACTTACAACGGAAGCGGTCGATTACTCCCAGAGAGTGCGTACGGATCAACAGGAACCTTTACCCCAGATAGCTCAATGTGGCCAGTCGCGAACCGTTTTCCAAGTTCTGCCAGTTTTCAGTCACAGGGATACGGTAGCTACATGGATAAAAATCCAGAGTACTTTAGACAGGTCAGACAGAGGAAAACATCCAAACAAGGTGTACAAAAGAATTCCACAAATTTGCCTGACATTAATGCTCACAAAAGATACGTGCATGTACCAAAGAACAGTGCCCAACAAGCTCAAATGGAAAGTTGTTACAAAAATGCTTATCAAGTTGGCCGACCTAAAAACACTCAAATCAGCAGGTCAGCTTGTCAAGAAAGGGCTATTAGATCTGTTGTCAATGCTTCAAAGAATTCTGAGCTCTCAACCAGAAAAGAAGAGCAGAATCACAAGATTCGACAAATTGCCTCCGTGTACGGTTCATGTAAGAAAACCTCTGGGGTGAAGGCGCACCCAAGTCGTCCCAAGCAAGCGCAGAGTAAAAAGGAGGTCAACAAGAAATCCGCTGGTGAAAAGCTGCCACCCGTTCAGCCAAATAATTTACAGCCGAAAATCGTTCAAAGTAAGAATAAGACAAACAAGGAACCTGCTGAAAATGCAGCAAAGACCAATGGCACCATCAAGGCAAAGCAGGACGTCGTTCAGAATAAGAACAAGATAAACAAGGAACCGACTGAACATGCAGCAAAAAAGACCACCGGCACCATCAAAGCAAAGCCGGAGGTCGTTCAAAATAAGAACAAGATAAACAAGGAACCGACTGAACATGCAACAAAAAAGATCACCGGCACCATCAAAGTAAAGCCAGACATCGTTCAAAATAAGAACAAGATAAACAAGGAACCTACTGAACCTCCAACAAAAAAGACCACTGGCACCATCAAAGTGAAGCCGGACATCCTGAAATCACGAGCCATGGCACCACCATTTAACACATATGTTGATGAAGAAGCCTCTGCAAGATTTATTCGCCATTATTATGGCTAAAAAACGTTATTTTCATGATGAAGTAAAGCAACAAATTCTCATATATATACCTTACACAGGTTTGATCTCCCATGCCAAATCCTCAGCAGTTGGTACATATATGAACACACTGAAAAAAATTCGAAGAAATAGTTTTTTATAACTTTCTTTAAGAAAATATCCAATCCAAACCTTGATGTGATAGACAGATATGGAATTTGGCATCTTCACCTGATGGCTTATCAGGTCCAGAACACATCTAGAGGTGCCCCGCTTCCGCAAATACATACCCGCCTGAATTCCACGTAGAATGACTGGGATCTAAAATTATTAATAAATTGTCCATACAGAATACCTTATGTGATATTACAGATCCCGTATATGTATGGTCAATAGAAATCCGAGCCATGAACACAAACTTAAAACTATAAATTTAAAAGAGAACATCTATGGATCGTTAAGAAATTTATAGCTCTCAAAATATGTGTAAATCTTTTTCATGTACTTATTTATATTTTTTAATTATAATGTTTTATTAAATCATCGCACAACAAGATTTCTTGTGTTTCTTTATTGAACCAAAATTTCTACCACATTTTATAGTACATGTAGCTTTGGGTTTGCTACGGATAATTATTTAGTTGTCTAACGCACACATGCATTTTCTATATAGTTGGAATTTATCCACAATAATTTATCTTTCAGGATGAGAAAAAATTCAAAAAAATGCATGTTCTTGATACCGAGGTATTCTAGTTCTTCTACTGACTTCAAATCTTTTTTTATAGTACGTTGTGTAAATAGCATGTGTTACCTTACAAGACATTACAGATGACTTCCAATTTAATTTCATGCTAAAAGCATAAGAGTCGAGTTAAAATGAAGTTTGATATCTCTAATAAAATGTCATTTTTTTGTCCTTGATAAGAAGCAATACATCTTCAATAACTATTTAGTATTTACAAGACCGTTTCAATGACCTTGGATCATTAAAAAAAAATAAGAAAATTGTTGCTCAAAAAATATTTTGAGAATGTCTCTCGGCATTTTAGCTACGTATTCTGGAGGAGTCACAGTCTCATTATGTTCAACACCAGTTTTAATCGGTTCCTTGTAGTTATCCCCGGCGGTGTTCGATCTAGTTCACATACAGTTTCATCAATCATCATCATCACTTCCATTATTACCTGTTTTCCCCTTAAAATCAGATTCAGATTTTGTGTCATTTATCAAGTTCACCTCAGGTGTCAATTCTTATGCAGAACCAAAAGCTCCCTCGACATGATCGCCGTTTTGGAGAAGACTTTTTGATGTGACAATGGGGACATTTCTCGTATCTCTAATGGTTCAAGGCCTCTGATTCTGTCTTTGTCTTTCCACTAGAGTCACCTCTGCGTGCGTATCTGGACAACAGGCGTACTTTTTTAACCTTCTGTGGACAGAAGAATCTTTGAAGGCAATTTTAAGAATTCCGACATAATTATCTTTTCCTTAATGTTGTCCAAGTCCAGATTTCTAATGTCATATTTCCATGAACCAAAAGTCCATAAGCAGTAAAAAACTTCCCTGTGGAGTGTGCATCGTGTAGTCAAGCGAGTTGTAGGAATGTACACCATAATATAGTGAAATGCAATTAAAGTAAAACACTCATTGACACATATAATGCATTTTTCTAGCCATATAATTGGTACCGTCTTCAGCATTTAGAATTAAATTCATACCAAAAAGTTAATGTTTTTTATTACGATATAAAAAATCTAATCCGTTTTGCGTTCATATTATCTTTCAAGTATGCTGAGAATGAGAGGGACAGTATACAATCTAGACCCTTACTTGTTAAATTAACGATGTCTGGTTTCATAAATGGCATAACTGTGCTGTGAAACTTTCTATTGAACGTTCAAAATGAAAATGTATGTGGCTTTAAAGATCTTTCACATCAATCATTAGACAAGAAGTATAGCAAAACTCAATAAACTGCATGCGGTATGGTCTCCAAATATCTGTAATTTAGATGGAAACATCTTGTTCGTGCAACTATATACTAGTACATGTATTAGGAGGAGTATTTTAAAGGAGGAAAAATCATAAATTGTACCGCCAAGTAAACTACTGCCACCTAAATAACATCCAAGAAAAACACACCATACTGAAAGCTTTTTCGATGACACACTTTAGGAATAGTTGTTCTCCGGTAGCGGGCTATGCTTCCTTGCAGTATTCATAAAACACATCTTCAATTACACTGGTATCTGGAGTCTCGCTCCTAATTAAGCCTCTGTCCAATCAGATTAATAGAAACTTTAATTTGGTTAATACTTAACCAAACAATTTAATGAGCATTGCTTTAGATGCCTTTTTTTTCTTCAAAGCTGACATTTGTCACATTTCTAAACTTTTTTTTTAAATTATCAAAGCAAACTCTACAATTTTACTATAAGGCCCCCCTCTCTTTTCAATTACGTCTTGATTGTTTCTAGATGAGAGCGTAGCTTCAGCGCCAACACACCTAGGTTCGTCTAATATCTGACATAATGGACAGTTTTTGAGTTATATATAACCATTACAGAGAGAGAGAGAGTCAAGGCTTCCAAAAGCATGTCAAAAACACAGTTTTAACAAAAAAAACTAAAAGCCCCAAAAAACAAGGCGCATTTCAAAACTCGTTAATGTTTTGCTGATATAACTGATTTGTTAATGGTTGTCTGTAACCTCTGAAATAAATTACTTGGTGTCAACGGTATGGTAATTCTTGTAGCAATTTTCAAGTAGATTTTAGCTCAGCGCACGTCTTTAAACGTGATATCATTGCAGATGCTTTTTTCCCCACTCAAAACTGTTTATTTCATTTCAAATATTAAAAAAATTGTAGAGTTTTATTTTATTGTTATATGAAATGACTAATTACTACTGATTAGTAGACGTTTCAATATCTTTTGTTCGTGATCAAGAAAATTTACTTCTTTTGCACCATTTTGTGGACATTCCAAGATTCCGAGAAAATAGGCCATTAATGACATGAGACATGAGTCGGTAAATTGAGGAAGGAGGGTAGGAGCGACATAACTCTATATACAATCCATTACGATCTCTATAAATATAAATCAACTCTAAATGAAAAACTGATTTATATTTTTCTGACATATATTGGTTTTATTTTTTTTCCGAAGATTCCGGGTCATATAGTTCTTGGTCTGTCCTTCCGTCTGTCTGTCTGTGAATCTTTTTGTCCGAAACTTTAACATTGCCAATAACTTTTGAATGATCAGTGTTCGGGCTTTCATATTTTACATGTGTTTTCCTTGTGACAAGACCTTTCTTTGGGTACCAACATTTTTGAATGGACAAGTCTTAGTCCCCTGCAAAGAGAAGTATATCAGATGGACAATTCAATATTGTTTTGTTTCCAAGCATTCACGAATTATCCAATTTTCAAGTGTATTTGAATAAGATGTATTACTACAATAACCGATACATATTATTTTTATGCTAGCAAAAGGTAGACGTCTAAGTGGTAGAACTTTCGCTGCATACTTCATGACGATAGAATGCTTGTGTAACAAAACCTGATTTGTTAACGTCTCATTTATTTTTCATTAAATAGAGAAAAGGGGAACAGCTATAGGAAATGTACATCAATCCTAAAAAAAAAAAATAACATTCAACGTTTCAGTGAAGAAAGTTGAGCATCCAGAAATAGATTCAGATGTCAAATCTCTACTTGAGGTGTTGTTCAATATGATGTATGATAAAGAAAAGACTCCCTGTATATTTGGTAAAAATCCTACTTAATTTTCCTCCCGTTACTAATTCTGAGCTTTCCCTTACTTTTTCTACTAAAAAATTTGGTCGGAAACCATGGCACTATGTTAAACAACGTCACGTAGAGTAGATATCATTGTACATAGATCTGCTGTTGTACATGTAAATAAATGATAAAAATAAACTATACGAAAGTCAACTATTCATGAAGTTCATACATAAACCGATATATTATAGGTCAAAAATATATACATAATAAAAAAAATGACATTATATAAACATTCTTACATAATTAAAAAGAACAAGCACCGGGTCTTAAACAAATCCTATTTAGTTTCACATAAACATTTAAAACTATTAAAATGTACATATACAGACTATCAATACATTTAACATTTTGTTTAACACAGTGTTACTTTGCTCTAGTGAATGTATATACAAACACGTCGGTTCCTCTCTGACATTCCATTTGCCTTTGGTAATATTTAGACAGAATTTACATGCAGTGATCAGACACAGTCAACAATAAGATTTTTTTTTTCGTTCAGGACCACAAACGCTATAGAAATTATCCATGCATCGAATTATTTTTAGAGGGCCACAGAAACACATTAACACTTCGATTTATAACGTTTTGTAAATATGTATTGCATGTTCTTAGGAAAACCCTTGCACGTTTACGTACTAAAATACTTGAAAACGCCTAAAACTTTCCCCAGCCCGGAAGTTGTCTCTGTAGAAGTTTCTTTGGAAATCTCCTCCGTCTCTTTTTGTTCACTTTCGCTCTCTCTCGGACTTTCCATGTCTTCCCCTCCAACTTTCCTTACATCTTCTGTTACAGTTTGATCTTCACTGTGCTCATTGTCTCTTTCACTCTGTCCAGCATTAATGTCCTCTGCCGGAGTCACAGTCTCTTCATCCACATTTTCACTTTCAGATGCAACCGGTTCGTTGTCGATTTCTCGGACTGATTCTGGTGGATTTCCCTCTTGTTCTTCTGCTGTTTCGTAGCTTTCATTTGTATACACATATTTATCTTTTGTGACGTTCAGAAGATTCTTCTCAGGCAGCACATCCTTTGGAACATCATCAGGGGACTCAATCTGTTCATCATTCTGGAGAAGACTTTTAGAAGTGGCATTGGAGGACATCTCTGGCATCTGTAATGGTTCAAGGCCTCTGAATCTGTCTGTGTCTTTCCACCTGATTGTAAGGTTATAAGTCACCACTGCGTACCTATTTGGACAACAGGCGTACTTTTTTAACCTTCTGTGAACGGAGGAATCTATGATGGCAATTTTAGGACTCTCCTCGTATTCTGACATATCTAACTTTCCCTGAGTGTTGTTCAAGTCCAGCTTTCTTATGTCATGTGTCCATGAGCCAAACGTCCAGATGCAATAGAAAACCTCCCCGTGAGGTGTGCATTGTGTTGTCAGACGGGTTGGAGGAATGTACACCACTTGTCCAGTGTGGTACACTACCAAAGGGAGGTTATTATAAATGAGTCCAGAGTTGCCTCCAGCACTAAAAGTAATAAATTATGTAATAATAATAAAAATCCATGTAATTAATTTTTTCTTAACATCAGATGTTTCAATTACAAAATCATTGTACAGTATCGCTACACTTTTCATAAATAAAGAAGATGGGCGAAAAGGGCAACCAAAATGCCTATAGTTGAACAAATAAATCTCAATTATAACAAAATTTTCTTCGATATTTCATCTAACATAAAAGTATACTTTATGCAAAATCTCCACAATTTGCAAAAATCTCACAACGATTAAAACTATTTGCCTATGAAATAGCATACACACACTAAAGAGGGCAAAAAGTATCATTTTCTCATACTATAATACCATTTTTCGATATGAGTGAGTCTTCGCTCTATTTAATTGAAAGTTTGTCCTCAAAGTTTTTTGGTTACAGTAACAAAACCATGGAGCAAAGACCCACTTTACCTTAAAAATACACTTTTATGACACAACATTCACATCTTTTCGAGAAATACTTGAAGTACATTTAGTCAAGGGTCATATCACAAACATTTTTTATTGCTAGGTTTCGAACCCCATTTAATCACATTTTTTTTAATAACAGAATAATTTTTGCCGAGAAAAGTTTTGTTTATCGTAATTTCTTAAATTTCAATAATAAAAACTTTACACTAAATACTAAATTCACAAACTGAATATATTTTTTATATATCTGAAGCTATAGGCATTCTGCACGCCTTGTTCACCCATCTCCTTTAACACCAGATGATGGCTCAAATGACAAACATGCACTATTTCGATATCGAGACACCCTCTCTTCGTAAGCTTCGATCCTTTGTGTCAAGTACATGTATATACGTAAGTTTATAATGTTTTTCCATTACATTCTCAAGATCAAAGCCTTTGACAGTTGTCTTACCTTCAAACTGAAATCTTAGTATATTTTATGATGAATAAAACAAATATTTATGAAGTACTTACTTGTTGAAATTGACAATGTCGGGTTTCCAAACTTTTGATGGATCAATATTAAGAGAATCCACACTTTCATGGTAAGATTTGTCCCACTCCAGACGGGGGTCCTCCCACGAAATCACTTGCCAAGTGTCAATCACCAAAAGATTGTCCACCTTTGAAATATTTTTTTTTTAAAAAAATATACAAATAGAATGTGAAATTGCATTTCTGGCCAACGTTTAAATTTTCAAAATTAAGCAATATGAAACAATTTCTTTAAGCATTATTGACAAAATATTCTACACGACAGGTTTTAAATTTTTTTTATATAATCTTGAACTCGATGTTGACACACTATCGTCTAGACTTTTGAAAACAATTCTTTCCATTTCAAACTGTAGTTTAATAGTGGTTTACACACAAAACTTCATTCGCTTAAAAGGGTAGCTTAATGGTATATATATTGTATTTAAGGACATACGCAACGTACCTTACCTACTGATAATTTTTCAAGATATTCTTAATTTAAGATTATAGTGCCATCAGATGTTCATAGACAAAGAATCAGTATACATTATCAAAGGTTTTGAAAAGATATCAACTGATGAAAATTCAAAGAAAAATATACAAAAATTACTAAACATATATTCTAGATGTTTTGTTTTTCCAAACTTGTTTTAGAAGAAGTGTACAACAGCATATATAGACATTAAAATGTAGCACACATTGAAACTCTTCAACTCCAGGGGAAAAGACAATGAAGTTTAAACTACGTTGCGTATATCTTTAAGAGAGATCCATATTCATGTTAATTAAGCTAATAAAACAAATGGTGTAATAAATAAGCAAAAAGCTACTGTATACTTAAACTGATCTAAAGAGTTGATCTTCATTTTTCTGATTAAGGGTTAACAATGTTTTAACACAATTGATAAAGTAATAATTAAGACAAAGAATTTGACACCATTAATGTGTTAGGCGTGCTTCCAGTGCCACATCGTTATAAGTCATGTGTTTTGCTTGAAAACATAATCTTGAAAGACACAAATTTAAAGCCGCGGCTGATTGACCTCATGCAGCTAGGTCTATATTATATATTCTAGCTCTTGCACAATACCCTCAAAAATGTGCATTCAAACACCCGGTTATGCCTACCAGACTGATCACCCTGTTTATGGAGAGTTGATGAGAAACCTTTACGACTGGTTTTCGGTCTGTGGCAGGTCTGGCCTCGTGATAGTATTCATAAAACAGGTCATCCATTACGTTAGTTTCTGGAACTTCGTAAGCCTCTGTGAAATAAATAGCGACTTGAATTTAATTCGGAGAGGATATTCTCATGCACTAAAACATCAATATTGCAACATTATTTTTGTCAACCGCCAATTGTTTTGTAAACCGTTAGTTCACATTTAACCAAATGTCATAACCTTCTGCACTGGATTACACCATATATTATCTATTTATGTGTTCTCTCGTTTTATACTGGCATTACTGCTTCAAAATTTCAGTTCTTCAATCATTTTAGGAAGTTTTTTTTTTATTATTTCTCGTGGCCAGAAGTTGAATTAATAAAAGTCATTTTCAAAAAGAAAGATGAAAAGACAAAACAGAATTTAATCGACAAAACGCAGTAATCTATCACAGCCATGGTATAATCTTGCATCAGTCAATGAACGTTTTTCGTTCTTTGAGTGAACTGTAATTAGTGGGGGAATTTTCTTTAACCGAAATACTTAAGCAGTAAACAAAGCATAAAAAGCATGCACGAAATACGTAATCTAGGACAAACGTATTGATAAGAAATAAAAACAGACAGTCGAGGTTCAAAGAAAATATCCTGTCAGAAACGGGAAAGTATTCGAAGCACGCAACACGCGTCCGTTTAATTATTCCTTACACAAGAATTCGAAAGACATGCAATTGTTAGATTTTTAACTTTCCTAAATTGTACCTTTATCAGATTGTCTTTCTAGCTGTTGCAGAAGCTTCATTATATTTCTACTATTTGGACAATCATATAAAAAATATTTTTCATTGATTTAATTTCATGAATGCATTAGCAGTCAAAGTCATAAATCAATTATCATGAAAACTTTCTTTGAATTCTTTTCAATTTGGAAGAAAGTTTAAAAATAAGAAATTCTCTAAAAAGATTTTGTGCCCAAGTATATAGTTACATATTTCTCGAAAATGGTCAATTCTACTGATGTGGATTTTTAAACTTATCAATATACTGTAACATGATATGAGCAAAGAGAGCGCAAACTTTTAATAGAAAAGGTTGAACAAAAACGCAAAAATTGAATACAGGAATTAATAATACTTACCACAAATGAAAAACACAAAAACGCAAAAAATGGCACGAAAATTTAGCATCTCCATTTTGAATTCAACGATACAGTAATACGATTTTAAAATTCAAGTATATTTTAAAATATTCTCAGAATCAATCAACTTAATTTAAGTGAAGATGTCCACAAACAAGCAACCGGGAATATCTTATGTAGAAAACAAAATAAACAAAAAAATCACAAAACACCAAGTTTCTTGCAAAATAAAAACTAGTCTGAAACTGCGAATGGCGCTGCTATATAACTGATTTGCAAATGGTTCTGCGTAACCTTTAAAATAAATCAATTGATGTCAACAACAGGGGGCGCTTTAAGCGGTATTCCAACGCAGATTTCAACTCACCCCACTCAAATACGTCAGTGAGATTTCTGAACGAGGTCAACATGGGTTAGTTGCTTTTTTTAATGAATATCCCAACCAAAGCATTTTTTTTGCGTCTTATATATTTTTTTTATTACGATATCATGTGGTACGTTTGTTAAATAATAACAAAGTGTCACCATTCATATTAGAGTTTTCTGGAAATGATATACGTAACGTTAAACGTTGTCATAGAGGTTCTTAAAAGTGTACTCGAGTACGAATGGGAGTGAAACCATAATTTGCTCTCTTCTCGTGACGAGTCTGCATATTGTGAGAAAATGCATGATTATGTTTAATGAATTTTCTAATTTACTGTACTTTCAACATGGGATTTGAGATATATAAAATAGAGAGAGAGAGAGAGAGAGTCATCCAGAAATTTTCTGTATGCCTTAATTGAATCATAAATGATGGTCTAGTCGTACGTAACATTTCATCAATATTTTTTATCATGAATTTTAGCTATACGGCTCTCGAGCTCTTTATTAATATATTTAAGAGTTGACGTCGATGCTTGAAATGTGCAGCTTTTTGTTACATGTATTTCCTTTTTATACATGTATACCATGACTTTAATTAGCAGGGGAAGTATTGTATAACTTAAAAGTTATTATAGGACAATTTGAGGAATGGAAGGAGAAACTTAATGTGGAACCTGGCAATCCCTTTTGCTTGGAATTTTATACGATGGCGTGAAGAAGTAATCTGGGATATTACTTAAATCTAATAGAAGCTTTTAGTTTTGATAGTTTTTCAAAATTCTGATTCAAATATACGTGATATGCTATAGACACAATCTTAAACGCATTGTAGACTCCATGCACTAGCTGTTATATGTAAGAATAAGCAGTATATAAAGAAATAGCGGGCAATGACCTACGAATCTATTCGTATGTGCATAACGTCAGTGAAACGAGAGGGTCGTGACCTATCAATCAGTCTGCTTTTCAGGATAAATGCCCTTTCTGACTCAGTCACCTTGAAAGATCGAAGGATCTTGACCCCATTCCAATTAAACAAAATGACTTCCCTTCTGTTTCAGATGGACGCTTTTAGTTCAGATTCTTTCTGAGAGTCCACTGACTATGGCTATAACATTTGCATGTATGTCCTTTTTACTCCTTCTTGTTAGGTCGTATTACCGTTGAAGTTTAGTCCAACCCAGCAGGCATGTTCACAAAGCTATCTTAAAACTATGACATGTCCTAGGAAAACCTTATGAAACGCCTTAGTCTTAAATCAGTTTGAAGCTTCCCTAAATTTAGGACCTCGCCGTAAATTCGGCCTAACTTTAGGACAGTATAAATATTGCCCTTAGAATATCTGCAATTAATGTAAACATGATAGTAGATTTGGTTACAATTTTCGATGATTTGCAGATTTTTTTCTTGATGATATCTTCATTTATACCACCTCATCCACCCAGAAGCTCCTGAAATTTGAAAAAAAAAATGGTTTTCTTCTGACTTGTCATGAGACAATGAGACTGCTCACAGAACAATATGTATACCAGTCTGTTCCATGTGTGCCTAAAAGTCAACTATTCGCTTATTTCTAAACATCATAATCGATGGCTTTATTTTTCAATATTTAACTTATTCAATACATTATATATATTCAAACGCCAAAACATCATTTTTAAATGATTTTTTCACTTTGAATGAGGTAGTAAATAAAAAGGAAATATTTGAGAAAGTCTTGATTTCATTTACATGTTATATTAAAAATTTCTTTTACCGGTTTATTTACAATTTTGTGAAGATGTACGCATTAAAATACAGTACAACTCAGTTATAAGGAAGTCACTGGGAGCTCAAAGCTTCTCATTATTATATCCGTATAAGGAACAATATAGTTCAATTCGTAAAAGTTTCCTTATATCCAATATTTCCTTATAAGTGAGTTCGTTATAACCGAGTTTTACTGTATTTTACTGAATTCACCATGTTAATCTATAAATTTGATGCATAAGGACTTTTTAAGCTGTAAACGAATCCCAAATTTCCTATCACGACCACAATTTTTTAATGGTTTATTTTCTAGCTGTATTCTAACTGTACGGAGCAGCAATTTACACAATATGGTTTTACGATATGATGTTGTTTATTATGATTAAAGATTACCAGATTGTACAAAACAATATAAACAAGAAGTCTGTGAGCCAATGCTCACTAATAATACCCCCGCTCTGATGTGAATATACAAGTTCAGTTATGGACAGACACAGTGTTAATCAGGAAGTGGGCATTGGATCTTTACAAAAATGAATCCCAACATATGGCATCCTTAAACAAATGCTGTGCTAAAATTGCAAGCATCTGCGATGAGTAGTTGCTGAGAAAACTGCGACCAAAATTTGTTATGTATGGTACGGACAGACTCACGGATAAACAGGAAGTTGACATCGGATTCATACAAAAATGAATTCCACCATATGGCATGCCTACACAAAGAGTGTGCTAAATTTTCAAGCATTTGCGATGAGTAGTTGCTGAGAAAACTGCGACCAAAATTTGTTATGTATGGTACGGACAGACGCACTGATAAACAGGAAGTTGACATCAGATTCGTACAAAAATGAATCCCAACATATGGCAGGCCTAAACAAAGAGTGTGCTAAAATTTCAAGCATCTTCGATCAGTAGTTGCTGAGAAAACTGTAACCAAAATTTGTTACAGACAGACACACAGACAGCTAGACAGCTAGACAGACGGACAGACAGACACACACACAAGGGTAAAGCAGTATACCCCCCTCTCCTTCGGAGCGGGGGAATAAAAACATTAAATAAATCTAACATCACATATAACAGCATAATTTTTACAAACATAATTATCATCATAAACTCATTTTACTATTTATATATTAATTAGGTCATAAAATAAATTTAATATCATATATAACAGCATAATTTATTACAAATATGTATCATCATAAACTAATTTTACTATTTATATATTAATTAGGTCATAAAGTACATATTGACACAGGTCAATGAGTTATGTCTCTTGACTTTGAATATACAAAAATAATAATTCTCTTTGTATTCACTTCATATAGTGGATAATAAATATTTACAATTATATACATGTACATAGGCTAATACAAACTATGGGTATGAATCCATCTCTATATTTACATTATATATATATATTTCTTGTTATGGATTATCTACAATTCATAAATAACATTTATACACTATATATCCTTTGTGTCATAAAATACATTAGTTCATTATAAAGTTTAAAATCAATTAGTTTATCGGCTTTGACAAACTTAAATAATTTAATAAATTCTCTCACATGCCTCTTTTCATTCATACAATTATTGATATGAAATATGAAAGTATTAATATGAAATAAGAGTGTTAAAAAGTCAATGTCAGTGCTCTAATAAAATTCTCCCAAATGACAAAAACACAACTTTACATACTGACTGCCCCTAGGCTACTCATTAGCTGGACACTCTGGACAAAGGGGGTTAAAGGTTTTGGCGGGAAAATACTGACCAATGGCTTAATTATTACTTATTTATTTATTCAAGGTTAAGAGTTAAGTCGTAATTTATAGATTTCTATACTTTAATTATAGGAAGTTGTTTATAAATTTATTTAACTGTTTAAAATTTAAATAAAACATATTTATTTTAAATTAAGTTTATTATTGAAAGATTTCATAACTTTCAATGGCATCTGAAAGAAAAAATTGTTTATTAAAATCAATATAAAATCATGACTATCACATAAATTCTAAAGGATCATTCTCTGTAAGGCCGTTTTGCGGCCTACAATGACTTCAAATTTTCAAATAGTATTTTTTCCGTTAAAAACTGCATAAGTCAGTAGGATAATGTTCCAATTTAATGATAAATGTTGATTGGTTAATGATACAAAAGTATTTGTTATGATATAGGGTCACAAAGTAAGGTACTATCGGTCCGTATTAGCATTAGGGTATTGGGAAAACTCAAGAGGGTTGGTGTGTTAGGTAACTCCAACACATGTCATAACCACCTTTAACCAACACCAAATTTTGCATGTAAACTTCTTATGAACCTAAAAAGTGACTACCAAATTATCAACTTGGTTAAAGGTGGTTATGACATGTAAATTAAAACTTTTCGCTTCATTTTTACGATATTTGCAGGAAAAGCTAACTACTCACAATGAAGGATATCAGCTTATGTAAATTATTTCTTATTATAAACTTTCACTTAGAGTACATGTTACATGTACTATTGATTTACTAAGAATTAATATAAGCCATGCATGTTTACTCAAAAAGGTAAACTTTTTACTTTAAAAATCTAAAATCAAAGGACTGAAATGACTGGTTGTTATGAAATTACGTGAAGACAGGTCTCATTGAACTATCTGCTAGAAATAAAGAAATTTTTTTCATAGATTATAAGGCATGAATATAAGTTACGTATTATAATTATTATTATTTATAAGGATAGTTTAGGTTATCTATGCCACTTCTTTGTATTTGTATTTCCTTAGGAGTACTGCATATTTGTTATCAGTTCTAGAAATGATAAAAGCTATTTTTGTTATAGCGGGAAGATGAATTTGCTATTTGTGTTATAAACTTAATTTTTCTATGGGTACACATGTAACTTTTATAAATAGAGAATTACTGATGGGGTGGTTTCATAATGGAAATTCTCGCCTCGACCTTTTAGAAGGACACTTTTCCGTATGAGTGACATAGGATCCATGTATTTTTTTAAATGGGTGTTGAGAGGACTCAGTCTATTCATCACACTTCTTTGGTAACATCAGTATAAGTTATGAGAACAGTAGTTCTGTCCTAGAAAATAAAACGCCAAGGAG